TAATGATAAATCATAAACCTTACATTTTCCCTTTTTCACCTTTTTTGCTTTTTATCATAAAATGAAAAAAAAATCCAACTTGTCAAGCTGTTGTCGTGTTTAAGCACAACAACACTGCATTTGCTGCAGTCTGTGCACGTAACTGTTAGCATGAATCATCGGATGGGTTAAACTGAAACTTGCACACAGTAACCAGTGGATGTTTTAAACAGATTAACTGTTGGAATTGACATGTTTTAACATGATTATCACAGCAAATGAACTTTGGCTAACACAAGATCAATACAATAGCTCAAATGTTTTATCTTCTCACTCACTAAAATCACGGATATTCGGTGTTTTACCAAAGCGCACTGCAGGGACTGGATCAAACCCCTGAACCTCTGATTGGGAGGTGACCGCCCTACCATTGAGCCAAAATCCAGGCCAATCAGCTCCAACAAATACAACCCCTGGCAAAAAGTATGGAATCAGCAGTCTTGGATGAGCACTCATTCAGACATTTCATTCTGTAAAACAAACTCAGATGAAAAGCATGATACAATAATAATAAGGTCATTCCAAAGTGCAACTTGTTGGCTTTCAGGAACACTCAAAGAAATGAAGAGAAAAYWTTGTGGAAGTCAGTGAATGTTACTTTTATTGACCAAGGACAGGGGAAAAATATGGAATCACTCAATTCTGAAGAAAAAATATGGAATCACTCAAATTGGAGGTGGAAAATAGGGACACACCAAGTAAATTTCCTTTTTCTAAATGGACACCTGGCTCAGATTAGATCTGCTGGTTAGTCTGCATTTAAAAACACCTGCAGTCATGACACCTTGGAGGGCTGCTGGACCAAGTGGAGTGGCGGGAACCATGGCTCCAACAASAGAAACGTCTCTTGAAACAAAAGAGAGGATTGTGAAACTTCTTGAAGAAGGTAACTCTTCACACATGGTTGCTAAAGATGTGGGCTGTTCTCAGTCAGCTGTATCCAAGACATGGACCAAACACAAACACCATGGAATGGCTGTTAAAGCCAAGTGTACTGGTAGACCAACAAAGGCATCAAAGCATCAAGAC